TCTTTTACAATAATTCAATATCCTTGCCCTCTCGTGCAGCCAGTGTTTGGCAAGCTCTGAAACAGTTTTGAAATATATGTGTCAATAAACGACATTTCGTGTCTTGGCAAAGTTCAACCTCATCAGTCGCCGTTTGCAATGAATGGGACGCATTGAAGGCAAGACATGGTGAATTCAATCTCTTGAAAAGTGATATGTTCTGGAAGAATTTAAGATACGAACGAACCTGAGAATTGACATTACACGATATATGTTGTTTACGTTAAGAACATGATAACTTGGTATCATAACATAACGTAGGCTTACGATTTAGCATGTGTATCGAATTGTGTAGGCTTTCCAAAGTTTCAATTCTACGTCAGTGCCCTGAAAATGGCAATATAAGAGCTGTCACTGAGGGCTCCCTCTTGCTGACGCGGTTTCTAACAACGCAGACTCGGCATCAGCGCATACTGGCAGTGGCAGCATTATGAGCAGTTTAATCCTCAAGCGCCGTATGAGGAAAGGAACCCCGTGTCGACACAAATAAACCCCTCGGCCGTGACTCGAAGGGTACGTAGGCCAGGTGGCGTAAACCAAGCTGCGCTTCAAGGGTCTGTTCCGCATTTGTAAGTTTTTGAATCAAGTGAGCCACGTTGACAATTTCGTGAAATTCACCACCTTGTTTTTTACACCTAGTCTGACCAAGGATGAAGAACGGACAGCAGCATTCCGGAAGCTTCCGTTCCAGACAAATAAGATGGTTGAAATGTTATCTTAGACTATATCCTCGACTATAAAGTCGGGTTGCCATCCTTATGCTTCCTTTAGGAGATCCTACAATGTCGACTGGCGCGAATTTTTTTGCAAAAAAATATATTCTATGTAGCTAGGAGATCCAAATTAGCTTAGTTGCTACTTGTGCAGCTTTGAGCATTTCTCAGAATGCAAGGTGTTATCTCCCACCATTATGAGCGGTGGCCCAGTCTCAAAAATTTATTCCGGCGACTTGGAGGCTTGGGTGTCGTTAATTTCTTTCGGATTTCGATGGCGGTGAGCCCATTTTCGCAGCTTTTTAAGGTATGGGGTTCAATTCAAGATTAAATCGTAAGTCAAAGGGCAAACTTGATAATGACTCACCAGAATCCCCTCTACTGATCCATATATGTTGTATGTTGCCTTCTCGTACTCGTAGTGAGGGTACACATGGCAGCAGCTGCATTTCTTGTAAACTACATGTGTTAAGTGTTGTGTTCATATGAACATGTGTTAAGTGTACCACACATGCATTAAAGGAGATCGCAATGCTTACATAGACACGCACTATGGATGTCTAGTGTCCGTTCAGAAACTCGTCGCAGCCAAGCGATACGCGATGAGTGGCTCACAACTCTGCCAGGGCGTGATAGCTTAGCTCACAAATCATGCTGTTATAGCTATATATCGAGGAGTATAAGCAATAAAACAAGAAAAGCTTATGCAAGGCTTCACATCGATATTTCTTACAAACCTGCTGAGCTCTCATTATAGTGATTTTCATTTGAAGCGACACTGTTTGCCGTCCAGGAATCAGTGTAAGACGAAACACAGCCTGTTCTACATAGCTGGGTTTAGGTCATACGGTGTACAACCGTAAAAAAGAAGACTCAAATGACGTTCAAGTAACAGTTGAAGAACCTCTGGGGTTAAGGTGATAATGCTTACACTCAGTGGGGTGACTGGTCTGCACCCTGCTGGCGCTCAATGCCATGTCCCTTGTTGCAATCGTCTCTATGCTGTTCCCGTGCACCGCCTCTTCATCAAGGAGCCTGTCCACATCCTCCCGGTCGAGTGCTCTCGGCTGGACTCCAGGGAGTTGCTCAGCTACTGGTATACCTTGTTACCAATAAGCAGGAGACATGCAGCAGCACTGTAGTGAGACGGTTTGCCATTCGGGCTTTGTTCCAGGCCTCCCCGTTTGTCCTGCATGTGATACCGCCACCAAACGCTGCGCTCGTGGTTACGCTCATGGCCGGTCCATGAGCATCATGGATCATGCATCATGAGTGTGCATCATGAGTGTGCATCATGCCCGTGTGAGTCAAGTATGATGTTGGTCCGGCGCTGAGGCTCGTTAGATCAGACTAGGCATGCAGTCTGATACAAGTGGAGGTCGACTGTGAGATGGGTGTGCTGCATCCAGAGACCGCTTGTGCGTCCTTTCGAAGCACACAAGCAGTGTAGGGTGTCTGGCTGTCGGGCGGCGAGCCGACACCGGTCCGAACGTCACCAGGGGCTTAGTGGACTTCTAACAGTCAGGCCACATTCCACTGCTGACTAAACCTGACGGCAGCGAAGTGAGTCCGCGACTCTTCAGCGCACAGAGCCTTTGTCGAGAGCCGAGGTACCCACTGACTGAAAGATCCGCTGAAGTGCTGCAGTTGCACAGCCTGGTGGGTGAGTCGCGAAGGAAGCACCTCACCATCGCCGCTCTGCTGAAGAGGCTGCACGCGAAAGGCACCACGTCATACCAGAAGCTGAGGGTCTACCTGAGGAAGCCAAAGGGTGCAGGACTACGACTATGTGTTTGTAATGCCTCCTCAAGCCCACATCGCTGGCACTCGCGCTCCTGTGTGGAGGACGGAACGACAACTTCTCTATTCAGTACCGTCTCAAGGCAACGCTGCGGTATTTCTTCGTGACAGGCCGACTATGCTCGCTAACTGAGATGGCATGTCAGACAGATGAAGTATCTTCCCCAGCGTGCCAGGGAGGAGCTCCGGGCGGGCATGCACGTATGGTGACACTCGGACAGCGAGGCTGCAGTGCCAGGAGATTATATGTTGGTTCACCTCGGTGCCGCGTCATCTGACCAGTACCTGGGAGCGAAGAACGCCTGACTAAAATTTTTGAGACTCGACTGGCCCACTACTCTCCTAGCTCCACCCCACGAAAAAGCTTCCTGTGCCCCCCTTTGCCCGAAGTAAAGTAGCTTGAGATCTTTCAACCTCGTTTGGAGCGACGAAGTCTCCACCAGCACATCGGCCGTCTCAACATCAGCACTTACTTCCGAAGCGTTCCTGGATGTAGTGACCCGCAGCTGAACCACTGGAAGCAAGGCGTGCAGCGTTGCATGGTGCAGCTGCACTAGTCACAGCACAGGGCTTTGGCGTACAGACCACTGTAAGTGTTAGGGAGAAATCGCATGTTATAGCCGTTGCACCAGCGAGCAGATGGACATCGAAGACAACGGAAGGGGAGCTAGGTGTACATAGTGATGGTGACTATGATAGGTAGAAGAGGAATGTGTTGAGCGCTGGCTGGTAGTACTGCGCTAAAGGTCTCTTTAGGTCTCGCTACGCTGCGTCAAAGCACCTCTCTGCGTTTGATATTTTACCTCTAATTTGGCGTTTAATTAGATCTCGTAGATCATAAAGAAGCAAAAAAAAATGGACTCGGCACCCATGAAAACCCCTGAAAGAGACACTACACGATCATCTACGTCATGCAGATCAAAACATGAAAGTTAGATAGCATTGAAGCTGACCGCCGCCGCCCTCTTAAATCCTGAGAAATGCTTAAGGTTGCATAAATGCTCAAGGTTGCACGAATAGCATCCAAGCTAATTTAGCTTTCCCTATTATACAAAACATCTTTCCGTGAAAAACGTTTGCGGTAATCAGCACTACAGGGTCAGCATTTCGGCATTGTGACCATTAGTATTACATCATATGACACATATGCACGACGCCTTTGAAGCCCCATGAGAGCACTACACCTCCATCAGCCTTTGAGCACCGGTCGATAGTTTCCAGCCAAAATTGCGTTCGAAGCAAGCCGTGGACCAGAGGTTTTGTAAGAGTTAGCCCTACTATTGGTCAACCAGGCATCAACCGGCGGACGTGATTGGTGCAAGCATTGAATTTATTTGCGAGCACTAGCGGAAAACGCGACGTATCCTGCGGTATTGACGTTAGTCTTGAAAGCATACAGTGTTCGAACCTGGTCCCGCTCTAATTTCAGTTCAGTTATACACCGAAGCGTGGTTATGCCACTTGTAATACTAGAACTGCTGTTCCCATCCGAAAGCAAGGCATGCAATTTCGTCGTGCAGGCAAGTGTTTTGCCAGCACACTATTACTGGAATATCAACAGATATTATGCTGCAAATTGTACTTACCTCTCCAGAGATACAAACCATGGAACAATTTTACGCCAAACCGATATCACAGATAATTAGAGGTATATCCGTTGCGTCGTGTAAGTTCAGAAATAGGTATATTAACAATGAATATAATAGGAAGAAGGCTTAGTTCAATGGCTTATGGCGTAATCGGTCTTTCTCATGCCATTCCTATGCTACCAAGTGTCAACTTGACAAAATTCTTACTACGATCTAGAGTTTATTGCGCAAACGACATGTCGCCCTTAGTCCCAGCAACGCTCCGCTCAATCATCTCTTTTTCCAAAGCATCTAGGTTGAACCGATCTGAAGGATCATTGGTTGACCTTCTGTGGCCGGATCTGGTGTCGTCAGATACTATGGAGCATTGAGCTATCGAGCCATCGAGCTATCGAGCATCGAGCTATCTAGCATCGAGCTATCGAGCCATCGAGCTGGCCGCTGGCTGCGTTGGTGGCTCGAGCCCCATTAAGCAGAGAACGGCGAGCGTAGTGCATACTCATGCCACCCGCGCCCAATGTCAGGCTGGTGAGCTGAACATGCCCCTGTCCAACCAGCATGACACGGATGACCTGCTTCCATCGACACTGTCGGGTCACGTTGTGAATGACGGTTCCGTGCTCGCACACATTAAGTTGCGTTACAACCTGTGAGACTGTACCTGTGTGGTTCTGGCCCTTTGAATGACAAAGAGCGCGAACGAGCCGAAGCGAAGTGACGGACGAAATGCATGCCAACAACCGAGCAGCGCCGGCGCAGACACTGGACAATTCCACCGGCGGGGAGTGTAGCCTGTTCTGCAATCTTTGCGCACACATGGTCTCATGGCTCGTCCTCCCCGCCCTCCCCCCCCCCCCCACTCGGCTGCCCTGAGCGCGCCCCTGTCAACCCGACAGCTGCTGGTGCAGGATCGGCACGTAGTCGTCGTACTGCGCTTGGAACGCGTTTCCAGCCAGAGGCGCTCCCAGGCCGTGCTCCAGGGCGAACTTCTGGGCGCTCCACTTGGGACGCGACCCCCGCTGGAAGCGCGTCACGCGCAGCGAAGGGTCGACGGTGATGGAGTCCGGCTGTCGGTAGACGAGGAAGACGTAGCGGTGCAGTCCTGGCGGCACAAACAAATATCAGAAGATAAGTATGCTTCGGTTTCGATAACGATGTTGCCGCAGTATCAGCTCATTTATATATCCGTTCGCCTGTTTTTTTCTTCAGAGTAATAAGGCAAATACTAATGTCTTATCTTTGTCAGGAGAGCATTATTCACAGAAACCATTCAGTGACGTGTAAGATGTCCCAAAAAGCAGGTATTTTGTCCCCCAGAGGCGTTTCAACGAATCGTTAGTCGGTCAGCACCACACCTGTCGGAACCAAAGCCGGCGAGATAGGCAGTAGGTTGCAGCGATATTTGAGACAGACAGCACCAGCCACACGGTTGGCTTGTACTGCGCATGCAACACCGGAAGAGCTCTCGCAAGCGTTACTTCAGCAGACATGTCCCTCGTCCAGCCAACCAGCCAGCCAGATCACCGGAGTCAACCCGCCCATCCCAGTAGCTCAGTTGGTGAAGTGCCTCCCTTCCCACCCACACATCCCTGGCGGGATGGGGGGGGGGGGGGCTGGTTCGCCCTTTCGAGTCGCTTCGGGCGCATGATATATGCCCCCGACAAGCCTGACCTGCCGCCGGTGGCGGTGGTCGTGCTGAGGGTCAGCTGACGGCTGAGACCAGAATGAGCCGTGCTGAGCATCCCGGCACGTTAAGCTGTCATCAAAGAATTTTGCCCGTGCATAAGGCAGAAGTAATAGCATTATTCCTCGGAGAAAATCCAGAAGAATTGAGATATAGATGCGTTGATATTTAGGCAACATGCCTTTATGTTTATGGAAACAAAAGAACGGATTCGTTCAGATAAAGCGGGACAATATAGCTCAACAGACCGCAGATTGTTCTGCTATTCTTTTCGATAAAGGCATGTCGCCGAAATATAAACGCATCTATATTTTCATTCTCCTGGTCTTTCCACGAGGAGTAAGACCAGGTCTACTACGATCTCATGAACGTGCAAAGTGTTCCTCGCAAATGCACTTAACAACTTAGGTAATTTTGAAGAATTTTGTAGCTGACGAAGAAATCCACGATTGGATGGTGGGATTGGATGGTTCACGCAACAAAGACTGCTTAGGGTGAGAGCTGATCCCAGATATCCAGTCAATCAGAAGGCAGAGTTGAAACCACATACAAAGCCTAAACTGAGCCAGATTCACACGTGGCCCGTCGTGACAGGGGTGGAGCAGATTCGCACATTGCTCATCGTGATAGGTCTGGAGCACGATACAAAAGGAAAAACTGCACCACGGCCATGATCAGATGACCATAAGAAACGACGCAGTCAATGTATTTGCACTTGCAAATGTATTTAAATATTTGTGATGAAGCTGTAAGTGATCAATCAATGTGTTCTATTACCATATGCAAACAAGTAGCTTTCCATTGTCAGCAGCTTTGTTTCAGGGTCAACCAGTGGATTTGGTACGAGGAGACACAATTTTCCCCGACTCAAAACACGCGACCTTATCGCATTGCGGAGCCCGTTCCCGTAGCGCGAGTAGCCTGCACCAAATCCACCACCAAATCCAAATCCACGAACCAAATCCACCGGATCATCGCTGCTGCCATCTGTTGTCGGCCGACGAACTCACCGGTCCCCTTGGGCGCGCCAGAGCCAATATATTCGGAGACCTCGTCGCCTTTATCCACCTGACATCCAGGAATGTTGACCATCAGCCAATAGCGGACCTCGCTCATTGATCGGTCTGTCCGACTTGGAGCGTCGGGGTCTGCAGTGATCAACATCGAGTCACGGGTCAGCGTCAGTTTCTGCTAGCATGTCGTTAACAGGGTTCTGCGGAAGGTCGCAGTGGCACGCGACTGTGAAGAGCTGCCACGTAAGCTTTGTACCTGAGATAGGGGCACCAAGTATGTAAAAATTCGCATCTACGCTTTATATATACATTTACATATATATATATATATATATATATATATATATATATATGCATATATATATAGACGCATATAAATATGGTAAATAGACAGAAAAGAGGAAGATAATCTATGGATACTGATATCTATGCATTTCAGACGCAGATTGTTTAATAAACATTGGTCGTTGAGAATGACCCTGGTTTCGTTGGTCGTGATCTTCTGAGATGCACTTTCAATCTTACATTATAAGTGCTTGGTTCGTGTGCTGTGCTTGTTAAGAACTGTCCGTCCCGGTGATTTAGTTGGCTAGAGCGCCTGCCCACCCGTGGCGGGCTGGGTTCGGGTCGCTTGAAGTGGTCGTTATTTACCCTTGACAAATATAGTCTGCGGCCGACGGCGGCGGCCACGCTCGAGGTCAGGTGACGTCAGGGGGCAGGGTGGACCGTGCCGAACATTACAGCATGCTAAACTTTCGCCACTACATTCTGTCGTTGTCTTGGAATTACGCGATCGGATCGTAGATGTCAGGGACAAGACAATAAGCATTGCTTACTGTAAGCTCTGATCCCGGAAATTCATCCCTTCAAAGGTGCGAATGGAATCTTTAAAAAATAAACCTCAAGCAAAATTCCTTGCAGGAACGATCCAAGTACACCACATTCCTGTCTTCAAATATTTTCTCAATTTTTCGTTAATCTTTTGACATTCTCAAAGCTACAACATTAGCTTAAAATCGCAATCATCAAACACAACAAAATCAGGTGGCAACCAAAATCACTTGTGATTTATCGGTGAGATTACCGAATATTATTTTCTACACACCGTAGCTTGGAGGTAAATAATAGAAATGCCGGCGTACTTCTTTTCGAATTTGACCAACACGCGAAACGTGTCAGGTATTATATATATATATATATATATATATATATATATATATATATATATATATATATATATATATATAAACATGGACATGTGAGGTTATCACGCATGCGAAGGACATCAGAACAGAGGTCCATCAATTATCAAAGAACGATTTTACACGGTACTAGCGCTATCTGTCCGACCTGTCATGATGAGGGTGTGCAGAGTGCCGGGGTCCGCCTGCCAGGAGACCTTCGGTCGTTCCTTGACCTGGGTCGGCGTCAGCTCATTGCCGCAGTCCGCGGAGACGCCCGACGGGTATCGCACCTGGATAACGGGCGGCGCGGAAGGCCGGCCGGTAGGTTACATAAAGTGCGAGTTTCTTTAATCGGCCCGTGCGCACAGCCGAGTACCGGTAAAACCAGTGTTACCAGAGTCCGCATCTCGCGGTGGTACCACAGTATGCATCCTGCGTTGGTACCACAGTATGCATTCCGCGGTGGTACCACAGTATGCATCCTGCGTTGGTACTACAGTATGCATCCCGCGGTGGTACCACAGTATGCATCCCGCGTTGGTACCACAGTATGCATTCCGCGTTGGTGCCACAGCCTGCATCCCACGGTGGTACCACAGTATGCATCCCGCGTTGGTGCCACAGCCTGCATCCCCCAGTGGTACCACAGTATGCATCCCGCGGTGGTACCACAGTGTGCTTCCGGCAGGTGCTGGGGAACCATCCAATCGCCGCTAGGTTTGATCGCGTGGTCGTTTTTGAGTGGAGCCTCTTCGGTCTGTTAACTATTTCAGGGATATGGGACGAAGGAGAATGGCTAACGGTGTGACTGAACCACGCGCACATGGCGGTTCATCTGCTGAGACTCGGCCGCACGGTGTAACTGAACCACACGCACATGGTGGTTTATCGGCCGAGACTCGGACCGCACGCTATGACTGAACCACACGCACATGGTGGTTTATCGGCCGAGACTCGGACCGCACAAAGACCCGTGTTCGGGGTTTGTGCTCGACACTTGGACGGGGCCCCGCCGGGGGGTACTTGGGCCCACTTGAGGCTGGTGCATGCAGCTTACCATAGAAGGCGTGTGATTGCGAGGATGCAGGATGAAGTGAGAATGGGAGAGTAGGGAGGACGGTGAGCGCCGCTTCACACGCTGACGCATGTTTGTGAGAGCCCATGCTATGGCAACAAGTTTTTAGGAGCAGAATACTGGGACCAAAGCCGTACACTGCAATGAAAAAATCGCAGATGTCTGAGATCTTGTTATAAGCGCGCCTTGTGCTAAAGTCGGACACTTTGGACTCAAACGCCGCAGCTTTAGTGCCGCGCATTATATTGGAGTTGCCGCTAACTGGGCCCGTATTAAGACCTCCACTTTGGAAACATTTTGTGGTGCAAGGAAAAACGTTCCTAGCAAAACGAAATACGACGCTTGATATAATGCACCGCAACGTTATACATGCCCAAACTGAATTTTTGGATGATTAAATATATTTAACGCGACAAACACACAATCATGATGTGACTGGTACGTTTCAGGATGAACGCATTACGAGAATACTGGTTATATGTCTAGCATCGCTGGCTAACTGCCTTTATTTCGCGGTAAACAACGCATTGTTCTTAAATTAGGCGTAGAGGAAAAAAACAGTTCATTTACAGCTGCTGACAGGTCTCAGTCAAAACCATTCAATCACACGACTGGAACGTTACCATCTTTTCGGCAACCAGAAGCGCATTACCTCTGTTTTTGACTTACCTCTACTTTTGCGCCAGGTGCCGCGGGGAAAACATCTGAAATGAGCTTGGACAATGCATCCATCATTCCTGAAAAAGCAAAACCATGCATGTAGGTACGTTTACACACTTTGGTCATGGAAAACAAAATGAAATCAGCGTGTCACTAACAAGTCGGTAAAAACCGTACTGTCCACGTGAGCACAAAACACTTGAAATAGTGCCTCAGCTGTCACATAGTGCAGTAAGGCGGCAGACCTTTCAACCTTCTTTCTTTTCGCTAGCTGAGTGAGTTCAACCGCTGCATGTCATGTTTGAATCCGAATTCAGGCAGTCCCTGGGAGTGCATCAGAGATCTGGAGCCGGATGAGTGGAATAACTTGAACCCGCTCCCCCTCACTCACTGGTACGCTTCGCAACGGCCTCAAACCCCCCCCCCCCCCTCCACTCACCAGAATAAGGTCAGCAACGCTAGCGAAACGACCCGATCACCAGAGCGCTTCGCACTAAACACCACCTTATGATGCCCGGTCGCATTGAGAACCTCTAGTACGAAACGTAGATGTTTCCCGCTAGATGTCATCACGCTCGCGAATCGCAAACAAACGTCAGCGGCCTTGAGGGTCCCATGATCGCCGCCAGTTCGCGCGGGACGCGCGTGCCGTGTGGGGTGTGGGCGCTGGGTCATCGGTGGCCCGAAATTGCTGTTCACTTGGGTGTGGATGTGGGGGGGGGGGGATGTCCCTATTTATGTACGCGGAGGTGGAAAAGCTGTGTCCGTGCCGACGTATGTTACGCCAGAAGCATGGGTTGGTACTAGAGATGCAACTTTTTCCAAAATCGCATCCCACACCCCGGCCCGCCCCTCTTAGCGGGTCATCTTGCCCGTAAAAGCCCGCTATGTTTCAATGCTGATTCACCATTAGCTCGAGAGTATTAATTTATCATTAGCACTTGCGGTTTGTTGACACAAAGTGATGAAGCTCTGCTGCTTCATTAGTTTGCGTCCGAGAATAGATGCACACCTGACGTATCATACAGGAAGTGGGACGGGCGTTATAGCCGTTCAGGAGTACTATACGAGCGTTGTCCTGCACTTGTGAGCTGGGTAACGCTGAAACTATAGTGGCGGTGCAGGATATCCTGCACATTACCTGGAGTCGGGAAATGTTAGATAATGCGCTCATGCCTTTAGTTTATTGAAACCAGAATTGATTTTGGCCACTTTAATGTGGTGGTTGCGAACTATTGGCCGAAAAATAATTGTGATATGATGAAAAACATGAGTCTTGTCTGTTCTGATGTCCATGCAAAATTTCATTCCTAGCAGGCAACGGGCAGTGTTAAGTATCGTAATACTCACTGGCTTATATCAACTTAGTGCACATTTTTTCCCATGAATATCACCTCAAAGTTCTTAAATTTAAAATAATCGGGTGAGCCAACTTTGCTGTTAAGATTTTGACTGTTAAAAGATTTACTGTTTGAATATTGAAAAGTTCTTAATGTGGAAGCGGATTGGCGCGGATCCATTCCATTTTTCGGGCAAGGCGAACCGGACGGGATTGGGTTGGATTGAGAAATCTGGCAAGAAGTGGATTGGCGGACGGATTGGATCTCAAGTAGCCGGATTGGACTGGACAGATTCATGAATATTCAATCCGTGATATGCTCTATTATGGGTCTTGGCCTACGAAAAAGATCACGTTGGCACTGTTTGCGTGCACGGACTCACGTACATATGCACCGCGGGTGGCCTTAAGAGGATGATCATAACTGGGGCGGTTTGTCGAGCTCCAAAGGTCTCTGATCGGCCGTTTTGGCCGCGGTCCGTGACATTTGTCTGTTTATAGCGGTATCAGCCGAGTTCGGTTTCTCATTGACTTGGACCCAAGCTCTGCCCATTGGGTTGGCATCACAGACATACGCCAATGAAAAACGCATTTCGTTACAAATATGGGCGCAAGAAGGATCAGCTGATTCAACCCCGCGGGGGCACATGGCGCCCGGGACGGGCGCCATGTGCCCCCGTGGCCCCCATGTGCCCCCGTGGCCCCCATGTGCCCCCGTGGCCCCCATGTGCCCCCGTGCCCCCGCATAGTGCGCCACGGGGGCGCTATGCTTTGCTATGTCAGTATCGACGACTTATTTGTAAAGAAACGCACTTACTTCGCCTCTCGGCCGAGTAAAGAATGGGCATGGACGCTGGCGTCACAGATAAGGAGTGGGCTTATCCCGAAGTAAGGAATGGGCTGATCCCGAAGCAAGGAATGGGCTACCCCCAAAGCAAGGAATGGGTTTCCATTGCCCAATGAAGAACGGGCCTCTGGTATGCCCAGATGCCCTCGGCTGGTACTTTTCACTGACAAGAAAGCTACGTTACGGTGACATCACGGATAATACATCACAGATATGGCGTGACGAATATAAGGGGCGAGCAAACATACTCCTGCAGTCACGCGAAAATACGTATGCTCACAGTAATGGGCGATTGTGCGCATGTTCTGACCAATGAATAAATGTGTGCAACAGGAGTGGGCGAATTCCCCTTCCGGCCGCATATTTTTTTTCGTACACGCATTTCCTAGAAATCACTGTCAGCAGCGTCAGAAATACTGCTGACCAAAACCGTCCAGGTATTGACGTTCTGGCAACAGTGTTCTGTTTTACAAAACATCAGGAACGACAAGAAATCAATTTGGAATGTTGTTTTGTGAGTACCCTTAAATTTCCCTGTAATTCTTCAACCAACTTTCAAGAGCAACGAGAAACAGTGCTTTGGAGCATGAAAGATCAGGCCACTAAAACCTACATTGTCTAGCATGTATTGGAAGAAAGTGGTGGAAATGCGGCGAAACATCCCCAAATATTTCGCGTTTGCTTCCTTCTATTCCGTCTCTGCATTTTTTGTAAGTAGTTTAGACGTCACAGAGAGCCGTCCGATGGTCATAAGATGGCTACGTGGTCCAAGGGTTTAACATCGTATTTTGTTTTGGGTTCCGACTTCTCGGGCCCCTATCAAATTGCAGCTGAGCCCCCGAGCGCACGCTCCGCCCCTCCTCTCACTTTCACCTTACTTTGCCGTACTGACATGGATCCCTACAAAATCGCACACCATGCTAATGAAGATCCCGCCGAATGCAGGCCTCTTTGAAGGATCTTGGAACCTGCAATACCTTTAAACTTGTTCCCAATTTCTGGTTCCCTTTTGCCGCACAGTCCTCGGATATGAAAGGAAAACATGAAGACATCTGGACCTGAATGTGCTCTTCTTTTTCAACTAGCAAAACTACGAGGCCGACATGAGGGAATGGGCATTTGTGCTTAGCTTTGGACTCAATTACATTCATTTAGCACCTTAAGACCTCATTAATATTTACGGTACCTCAGGTTGATCAATCCTGTTCCCACTCCTTCCTTTAACAAATCTGGCGAAACTAGAGTTCTAGTCATCTATGCCCGCTAAAAAGCATCAATTATTGCACACGTTCCTGGATATCCGTTCTCAAAGCAATGACTTTAAACCATAATATCTATACAAATATCCTATATTTCGAGTATATTTAATGTTGCACCTTGTATAAAGACCGACGCAAAACTGGCATCCCGGGTGATCCCACGAGGATGCCCACCGTACGGTATCCGGATTGGAGCGGACAGGCCTCGCGCTACGTTAACTGGCACCTCCCATCATTTCTCGGAGCCCCGTCGGCTGTGCTCTTTTAATGACCTAATCATTAACTGAGATGGTGCAGAGTACTGGACATCATTGACTTCTCATTGCGATGGTCCGGCGTACCGCATACAATAATGCAGCGGAACGCTGGATCATCGTTTTAAACACTCGAACACATACAAGTCGCGGATGGTGATAAGAACGAAATTTCCAGCTTTAACATGTCATGCAAGTGTATCCAGATCGACAGAACACACCTTACGAAACACAACGGATTCCGTCTAAACCAGGCATAACTCACCCGTCCAAAGGACTTCTCACGAACACAAGAAAACAACATTCACAAGCTGTGCAAGTGATTTATGCAGGCGGTGAGGAGGCTGCATCAAGCACGGTGTCCAGTTTCTCGTCCTCACGCGAATGCATCATCATCAAGCTATCAAATACATCATCAAACGCAATCATCGCACACCCTCGCATCAATCCATTCCCTCTTCCGTATCCACAAACAAGACAAAGATTGCGCAGCATTAAACGGGACTCCATCCCAGCCCTGCGCACAGCAGCAGCCTGAGCCGGGCCGGCAGCCGGGACGGGCATGTAGCGAGCGGCTGGGTGCCCCACAAGTATTGTGGATTCCTGTGCACGCCAACTCCATTCAGTTCTTTAACGCATGCAAACATCAGATATCTGGCACATTTGCCCAAACACATTGAGATTTGAACGAGTGCCACCACCCCAAACTCTGTGCTTGGAACGACTGGAAAGGCCTCAGACGGTAAGACCCCACTAGTCTGTAGCCAAAGCAATATGCTAAAGGACCCGGATATTCCCACAAGAAGGCACCTGATGTACATATAGTGAGCAAGGCACTGAAATGAGAAAAAAATCTGTATATGAACATTTCTATGGTACATTGTCTGTTCAACCACCAAACTTGCCGTTTCATGACATCAACCTGAGATGTAACGCTTCACCTTCGTGATCAGCGTTCTTCTTCCCACTGTTCATTAAAAATGTGCGCAAGAAGGTTGTCTATATTCGGCCACAAGATAGCCCGACTCGCTCGCGTTGTGTAAGCTATGCAGAGTCGCGACCCTGGTCGTGGTCGGACCTCACCTGACTCTACGCAGCTTGCGTAGCGTCTATATACACCGCGGGGCCGCGGGGCATTGGCGGGCGACCTTCAATCTCGGGAGAGGGGGCGCTCAAGGACGTTCTACGGCGCGCAACTCCGGTGCATACGTGCTTGCGTAACGAGGCAGCGGAAACGCCTCATGCAGCTCAGCAGTTAGGTTATCTGATACAGTGAACAACACAGACCAACTACGAAGGAACAACAGGGTATAAATCATGCGCCCGAATGGCGAGCACAGACAAACACGCGCGACCTCAACGATCGATTCGAAGCAAACAAGCGGTTGCAGCGCACAGCATTACAGCGTCGCGCGTTGCAGAGATTACATGTTCTGCGATCCAGCACTCGATTTTGCTCGTCGCTGACCTGCGGGCTGTGCGGCGCTGCGCCGCGACGCTGTCCCAGACCCCGCCGGTGCGGGTGGTCCCCCTTCCGGCCTCCGAGGCCGACCGACGAACACACGCTGCCTTCACGCTTGATGTCAAGTGAGAGACAACGAAACGAGTCAACCGCCTCTTAGTAAAAAAAGAGCGAAAGCGTGCCTTTGAGTCGCGCTACCCACAAGCATTATCTACGTTAAAGCAAGACTGCGGTCGTCTGACTCCTCGACCCTGCCGTAGCCGCGCCGCGCTGCTCGGGTGCGTCCCACGCCTATCACTCCTTAGTTACGATCCCGGCGTGACTCGATCTTTGGGAAAAAGACGGCACACTGCGAACCAGACGAAGGTCAGTCCGGCGGGAGTTGGCCCCGCGGTTCCAAGGCAAATACTCGGCGTCATAGGCCCCGCCCCTGCATAGGCCCCTCATCCTGCCGGCTTATGATACCGGCTGGGGTCATGTAGCGCAAGTGTTGCGACGCCGCGCGCCTTAAGGTGCGCTCTGACGGAAGTATCAGCGTCCACCCTTTGTCGTCACAAATCCGAGCGATCGGCCAGCTGACGGAGACCTTGGGGCATTGATAAGTTCCGCTCCGCCTTGGATTCGAACGCCAGTCCATCCGCTCATGGGAGCGTCCACGCGCCCTGTCGCGCCGCCAACGGCCGACGATAGTCGCCCGTCCGCCACGGGGAGAGCTACCGGGCGGGCATCGATGACCCAGTACCGTCCGCTGCAGGGAGAGCTACCGGGCGGGCATCGATGACCCAGCCGGCGCTCCCTTGCATTCGAATCCCACACGCTCGGCGAGTAGCGCGGCCCAGCAACTCGCCGGCGGGTCGCGAGCACTGGACTGCCCCGTCCGTCCACTCCGTACGGTACCGTCACCAGCCGGCGGGTCGCGAGCGCTGGACTGCCCCGTCCGTCCACTCCGTACGGTACCGTCACCAGCCGACGGGTCGCGGGTTCCGCGCCGCCATTGCGGACCGTCGAGTGCTGCCCTCTACCAAGATTGCCACCGTCGGCTGGTAGATGGCGTCTGCGTCTTCTTCCGAGCGCTATCCCGGACGGCGCCCCGCGAGCGACATTCCCTGGTCTCGCAGAATCGTGGGGGTTCCTCGAGATGTAGCAGGCTCGGCACACCTCCCCGCTATGCCTCAGTACGCACGGCAGGTGATCTCCTTTCAACCTCAAGCCGACGGCCCGGGGATCCCGTCCGCTTCTGGAAGCCTCAGGAGACCTCCAGAGATATGCCGGCGCGGCCCGCACGCCGCGTCTGGCCGCGACGACGGCCAGGCGGGGTCCAGACGAGCCAGTGCGCCTACACATGGCCACCTCCAACGGTAAACTCCCGACAGCTACGGCACGGGCCAACGAGCGAGCCGTTGCTCCCAAGCGTACGTCCACGACCCCGGACACAACGCCGTCTAACGCCGGGCACGAGTGCTCTCTCGCCGCCTGCGCCAGTGACATCCAGCCTTGCCCCCACGCTATACTATCGAGCCGCAAGCCGCCGCCTGTATGTACACAACAGAAAATCACTCACAACCAGCAACACACCAGCCCATCGCTTCACACGGGCGCAGTGCAGAGCCGCGTGGTACTCCGCACACCCACACGCCAATCCCCCTTTCCTTCACCACACGGGAGGGAGCTGGTAGCCGTGGCCCGCGCCCGCCCGGTGGGGAGGGGACGAAAGGACACGCTCGGAGCGCTAGCCGTCTATGGCCCGGTGGGATGGGGAGAACAGCCCAGGCACTCGCATCGCGCGTGCTGTCGCTGGTGTGCCGTCGTCCACTGTGCCGGATGTCGCCGCCAGGTGCTGCGAGCTGGGGCCTCGGAGACTCGACCTCGAGGCGCGGCTGCAGGTGCCTGGCGCACTCCCTGGCACTGACTGACTGCCCCGTGGAGCTCCTTGCACGATTTTTTACTGATTTTTGGCTTTTCCTAGCTGGTTCGGCCCGCCCTTGTCTTCTCGCATGATCCAACGGGTTTGCCGCCTCGCACCCTTCGTCCAATGTGTTGCGGGCCGGCCTCACCTTCTTCCAGGGCCCTACCTCCAACGTGACCCTGGGCCAGATCTCGGGCGGGGCGTCGTCGGCGACGACGTCGCGCGCAGGGTCCGCCCGCTATCGCCTCAGGCGGGCCCTACGCGTCTCCCTCCGGCCCAGCTATCACGTGGCGTGGCGCTTCCGACGCCAGCTGGGGTGACGGCGGCGCCGGCCCGGCGCGGTTCCTGAGGTGAAGCGGCAGACATTCTCACATGTTATTAGCATATGCCTGTGCTCATGTTGCGTCGCCGGCCACCTGGCTCTCGTCTCTATATATCTTGGCGCGATGGACCATTTTACCCCTGGGCCGTCGTCGTGACCTCTCCGGACGGGACACCTGGCGCCTGTCGATGCGGGCCGCTCGGCTGGAGCTCCGGGCCCAGCCGCATTCTTCTCTCTGCCTAAACGTCGTGTTTGGTGCGGCGTGGGAGAGCTCCCGACCTTGGCCGGCTTGCTTGCCGTCCCACGCTCCACGCAGGAGGCCCTGCCGCTCCCGGGCGGACGGCGCGCAAAACGAAAAAGTATGAAAACGTATGCCTACCTACCCGCCAGGGTATTGACATTGCCATCCAATGTCACTTAAGTGCGGATGAACCTCCGAAATGAAATAGTTTGTTTGATGAGATAGATGATGTATTGACTCGTTGTACTTCATTTATCTTTCTTTGTTGCTCAGTGTTCAATGTTCAGTTGCTCAGTGCATTCGTGAGGAGTGTCTTTTATCTTTCTTTCTTTCATGCGGCTTACCGCATTTATCGTTATGTGGCGACGGTTTCTGATAAATCTGGCTCCGCGTAACAATTCAGGCTCTTCTGAATTTCGTCCGTGACAGAAGACTCTCTCACCCCTGCCGAGCAACTTGATGGATGGGGCTCAGCCAAGAATATGGGGCTAAAAAAACAGTATTCTATTATTCATTATTATTATCATTATTATTGTCATTTATTTATTATATTTTCAATAAGTACGATGTAAATAAAAAGTACCCAAAGCACATGCGAGGCTCCCCAGCTTGACAGATGCGGGCGGCCTCGACCAGAGCGCAGGGACATCCATTCAGGTAAGAAATACCTACGACACAATGTAGAGGGCCCTCGAACGACTGGGTGTGCCCGGGATTATCAGATAGCCCTCGGCAGGGGCTTAGGGCCCTGCATTAAACTGCCCAATGCGCGGGGCCCCACACAATCCAGTGTGGCCGAGGCGGCGAACGGAGAGGGCCTCCGACACGTGCGTAGGACCCTCCATCCAAATAAGAAGCACCCAAGACACGTGGAGGGCCCCCGAACGATTAGGTGTGCCCGAGCAGGCTAGTGACAGACGTAAGCCAGTGACGGAGAATTGGAAGGGCGCTAGGCCAGTGAAGAGATCGCGTGAGCGTATCGCGAGTGTGCCGGAGGGTTAAGCGAGGCTAACGCGGAGGGCCCCTGAGCAACCGAGGGTACCCAGACAGGCTCACACATGAGGCCTCCGGCTACAGCGTACGGAGCCTTACGGGCGAATGGGAAGAATCTGTGGAAAGCCCCTGATTGATCAGATCGCTCCGGCGCGCCAGCAAGAAGGGCCCAGCAAACAGCGCAGGGCCTTCCGAGCAAATACAAAGAAATCGAGGGCAGTGTGGAAGGCTCCGTAACGATCAGATTGACCCTGCAGGTGGCATATGGGTCCCCGCAATCAGCATAAGGCCTCTCGACAGCGTGATGGGCCTTGAAATGTTTCAATCACGACCCTCTCAATCATTATTTTTGTCTACTCGTGGGCCCTTCCCTTTCACTTGCGACTGTTCTTGGTCGCCTGGAAGCCCAAAGACGTCAGAGGTTGGTGCATTGTGTTAAAAAGCTGCACCCTTTCAGTCTATGGGCCCCATAGAGGCCTAGGCCCCCCTGCCCCCCCCCCTCTTAGGCCCCATTTCGGGGCCTAAGAGGGGGGTGGGGGCGATGGCCCGCGCCTCTCTGGATCCAGCCCTGTATATATAATGTGTCAGAACGTAAGTGAACCAAGCCCGCGAAGTTTTTCGCGTCTGCCCGCTTATGCCGACGATTTGCAAGACACAACAGCGCCGGAATGCGTTCATATTGTCTAAGGTAGAGAATGTCCAAAGTACAGAATGCCCCATGTTCAGAATGTGCAACGTTCAGAATGTTCAAGGTACAGAATGTCCAAGATGAGAAATAACTTCCCAAATGCCTCAGCGTGCAGGTGTTCATGTCTCTTCGCCGGCCTCTGAGTGCGAGGTCCCACAGCTGCTGTCTGCATGGTCCCAGACCCAGCCGCACCGACTGAAACAGGAACACACCGCTTCTGGCACCAGCCGTGTATTTCCCAGCGGTGGCCGCCGCCGGCCGCCGGCCCGGCAGACTTCCCGCGTAGCCGTTCTGTTTTTGGCGCGCCCCCGGTGGCGGAGGCCGAGGGGCGCGGTTTTGGGCGTTACCTTCAGGGCGGGGTCCGGCCGGGACGGCAACGGGCGGCGGCTCAAGCCTTCGCACCGCTACATTGGCTACACGGGTCTCCCGGTCACACATCCTGTACAGTACGCCAGGGAACGTGCTACCCGCAAGTCTGCGGACGCCACAGCTGCAGGTCGTGCCGGGCGAAGCCGATCCAATTGGCCGCCCACCGCGACCGGCGACCACTCACAGTACGCGGCAGCCGGCAGCGACCAATCAGAGCGGCCGCCGCAACGCGCCGGCCAATCGGCTCGCTCGGCAACAACTGGGCTTACCAATCGGCGCCCGGCGGCGAGTCCTGGCAGCCAGTCAGCGCCCAGTTGCATCTCTTCAGCCGGCAAGCCGACCGGCAGCCCCGCCCCTCGCAAAGACAGCATCTAAAACCCACTCGGACACACCTCGCGTCACGTTACGTCATCCCGCACCCCGCTCGCGCATGCGTACAGATCCCGCCGACAACGCCCGTCGGCAGAGGGGCAAGACGCCACCCTTGACGAAGCCCCACCACACTATGCCTCCAGCTCGAGGCACAGACCCAGCTTGTGGCCGCCCTGGTTGAAGTTCTTGGCGTCGATCATACTGGACAGAGTGAGCGTGACACCTGGCGGTGAGAGCAGCAACTTCAGATTTCGGTAACCGCTACAGAAGCCAACCATAAGGAAGGCGTTGACATTAAGCGGACTCGGGAAAAGTACATTAAGACCAGCCTGCAGCAACACAATGGAAATAAACAAATGTTCCTGCATCACTCCATCAACATTCCATAGAACATTCAAAATACGCCGGGCTTTAGGAAAAAAAACTGCATATACATGCAAAATACCTACTTTTGAAAATGCATTGCGCATCAACACTGATTGCAAGCATAACCTTCGGTAAACATGACCGCAAGCAGTCACCAATGACATAGGCACGACTATTAACCACGTGATCCCACTTTCAGCACGCTGCAGGCAAGAACCGCAGCTTCACCACCAACATGAAGTCTGCTGCGACCAGGACGCAACCCCCATCACGACCGCAAACATCACCGTCAGCATGACCACCAGCATCATCAGCAGCACGGTCACACCACTCACCGTCGCGGATGCGATGCTGGTAGCCGAGGCCGATCTCCGAGCTGTTGTTCACCTTGGCGCGCATGCTGCTGTCCTTGTCCATGCAGTACTTGGCGCCCAGCGAGAACCTGGTGACGAACGCGCCATCAGAGGGGCCGCCAGCCGCCAGCCGCGCGCCGCGCAGCGCCACCTCAGGATAGCCCGCTCACCGGGCACTCCCGGACACGGACACTCCCGGGCACGGACACTCCCAGACACGGACAGTCCCGGACACGGACACTCCCGGCCTTCAGCCCGGCGCCGTCCGTGTGCCACCAGGGCGACGGCGCGTGAACACCGTAGTCGGCTTGTCTCCGGACGCCAAAGACCAGAACAGAATGAAGCCGGGTGCTCTTGTCTACCCATGTCGCGACCGGTCGACACCGGCGGCAGCTTCCCAAGACCGCTGGCGATCACAGCCGCCGAGGCCAACACAGCTCGGCGAGAAGCGGACCGCGGACCCCACCCGGTGGCTGGCCGCGGGCGGCCGCCGCTGGCCGCCCGGCAACGCCACTATTCCGACCGGCTGCGACGCCCGAGGCCTGGGCCGGCTGGCCGGCGGCCAGCTGGCGGGCAGACCGCGCCGCCGGCCGGCCGCTGGACGACGACGGTGGTGCCGTCGACCCCGGTCGGTCATGGCACGGCCACGGCGTGAGCAGGACGCCGGCGTCATCGACACGACGGCCATGGCCATCGCGGCGCCACTCGAACGCATGCTTATGCATGTTGCGTTTGGATACATGTATACGTACAAGGTGAACAACCGGATATGGCCAACGATTGTGCGTGGGGCAGATGGCAAGTGTGCCATGCTATTTTGATGGATGTCTTATTTATGGTGTGGCTTTGCAGCCCCGTTCAGACTCTGGTTCGGGGCTACGTCAATAAGCCTGTTCCAACAATGGACCCAAGAGGAAATTGCGAGGATTTGACCTGGTGCATACTCCAGGTTAAGGAGCAGGGCCTGCAGGGTGCCAGCGTGGGAGGGACAGGCGGCGCCTAGGCCACGACGATGGTGGGCACGAGGCGGGCGGCAGCAGCGCAGCGGGCGGCAGCGCGTCAAGCGGGCGGCAGCAGCGCGACGCCGCAGCGCCCTCGTCGCGGCGCGCTCACTTGGTGGCGTTGGATCCGGCGGCCCAGCCGACCTCGACGGCGGCCTCCATCTCCGGCGACACCTTGCTGTAGACGGAGCCCAGGAACTGCTGGCCGTCCACCACGCTGGTGTGCACCGTGAAGTCCTTGGCGGAGAAGCCCAGCGCGAAGTTGGACTTGGTCAGCTTCGACTTGGCCGTGTCGAACGACATCTGGTAGCCGGCCAGCCAACCCTGCCAGAAAGTGATGCGTAAGTCAGCCATCCAGCTGAGGCCATCACACGGTGCGCCAGTCAGCCATCCAGCCGAGGCCATCACACGGCACGCCAGTCAGCCATCCAGCCGTGGCCATCACACGGCGCGCTAGTCAGCCATACAGCCGAGGCCATCCCACGGCGCGCCAGTCAGCCATCCAGCCGAGGCCATCGCACGGCGCGCCAGTCAGCCATCCAGCCGAGGCCATCACACGGCGCGCCAGTCAGCCATCCAGCCGAGGCCATCACACGGCGCGTCAGTCAGCCATCCAGCCGAGGCCATCACTCGGCGCGCCAGTCAGCCATACAGCCGAGGCCATCACACGGCGCGCCAGTCAGCCATCCAGCCGAGGCCATCACACGGCGCGCCAGTCAGCCATCCCGCCGTGGCCATCACACGGCGCGCCAATCAGCCATCCAGCCGTGGCCATCACACGGCGCGCCAGTCAGCCATCCAGCCGTGGCCATCACACGGCGCGTCAGTCAGCCATCCAGCCGTGGCCATCCCACGGCGCGCCAGTCAGCCATCCAGCCGAGGCCATCACACGGCGCGCCAGTCAGCCATCCAGCCGTCGCCATCACACGGCGCGCCAGTCAGCCATCCAGCCGTCGCCATCACACGACGCGCCAGTCAGCCATCCAGCCGTCGCCATCACACGGCGCGCCAATCAGCCATCCAGCCGAGGCCATCCCACGGCGCGTCAGTCAGCCATCCAGCCGAGGCCACCATGCCCGATGTCGGCCGCAGGAGTTCGCACGCAGGACAACGAGCTGACAACGATGACACTGGTACTTTAGAGGCAATGGTACCAAACAGAGATATAGCTACACAACAGGGATAGTGGTACTAAGGACATTCACATGCAGGAGAACAGCAATGCCATAGACACATGTAAGTGATGAGACGTTCATATTTCCCTCGGTCATAAGCACGATTGCCAGATACAGTGGCGGTCAATTGGCTCTCAATCGATATTTTGCAAGTTGCAATGACACAATCAATGACATATTAAAGAACAGATTTAGTTAACAGAGAAATTGTGTTGTCTACACCAGTCTTTTCCACTTAAAATTATCCTAAAATCTGTAAGTGAGCCTGTTTCATTATATCTCATGCTTGGTTCCATGTCATCAAATGAGTAAAACTCCCTTCAATGGCCCACTAAGACCCCACCATCCCAGATCCATTCTGTATCCAGAATCCACGCCCAGACCCACTGTACTCAGAACGCACACCACCTCAGATCCACACCACATCGTGAACAAGCGCCGTGCACAGACCCCAACAGATCCGTATCCACGTGGCCCGTACCTGATATCCAGCCACCATGGCGCCCTGCACCACCGGCCCGGCCGGGTCCAGGTTCACGTCGGCGTTCAGCGTGCAGGTGTCGTGCTTGAAGGTCGTCTTGGCCACGGCCGACTTCCTCCTGCACGGCGAGAGGGCCCAGACGGGGCGTGAGGAGGATGCCACGGGGGGAGATGGGAGTGGTGGCAGTGCGCACCGCCCCAGCAGAGGTCTCAGGGGGGTCAGGGGCAGGCGGGTCTCACGGGCAGGAGGTCTCAGGGGCAGGGGGTCCCAGGGGCGGCGTTCTCAGGGGCAGGGGGGGTCAGGGGCGGGGGGGGGGGCGGTCAGGGAGACACCACTGATACTAGGCATTTATACAGGAACTAAGATGCCATCAATTGCAGACGGATAGCTCGTAAGGATGTCCTTGGCACTCTGTCGGTGGCACTTACCCCCCCCCCCCCCGTACCATGTTTCCGTTCACTTATCAAAAATAGGACTGCACGTGAACTGGCCGCGATACTGGCTATCCGCCTCCGACAGACACGATTCCCTGGATGAGACATTATCCAGGGAAGATCATGAGGACCCAGGCATTGTAGCCATTAAGCGGATAGTCACATATATCACGCTGATGATTAATGCGCAGGGAAAATCTGTCGCGAACGGTCAAAGTTTGCCACTAACTAGACAGCTCACATACTGCACTTGCAAAATGAGATAAGCAAGTCAACTCCATTCCGCCTCGGGTGAGCGTACGCGGCCCTTGAGATGCAAGCCCTTCTCTGGGGCGTTTTCATCATAATATGAGTTGCCCAGGTGGCGCTCGCTGATTACATCGCACTTTGGTGGAGCAGTCGCCAAATCTCGCAATCCAAAACAGCGGACAGCGGCCACGAACGGTTCTGATGTACACAGGAAATACATACCAGAAACACGTCGGAAGGACACCAGGCGGCGGAGGCCGGCAGAGGACCCGTCCGGCCGGACACAACCGCACCGCAGTGCCCGACATGGCCGCTGACAGACCAGTGCCCGCGACTCTGCCCCGATAGTTGATTGTTTTACACAGCGACACCCTCCCCCACATGAGCAAACACAGCCGGACCGCGCACGTCCGGGGTCACCAGGTGGACTGGGGGGGGGGGGGGGGCGGGTGCGCGCTGGCGGAGGGCGCCCCCAGTCACGCACTCGGACGCCGGAAGGTGCGAGCCGGGGAGGAAGGGTGGCACCCTAGGGTGACGACTGCGAGGTCGCTGGTTCGAGGCTCGCTGCCGGCAGTTTTTCGGTCCCCGCGTCACAAGCGTGCCGCTGCTTCTGATCGACACCCGGATGGCCCGGTTCCCAATAGCGGCCAGTGACTCGCACAGGTTGACATCGAGTGGCACTGACCCCGTCTGCGGCGCCAGGCTGGTGTCCAGGGTCAGCTTCAGCCCCTTGCACAGTTTGTCCTCCAAGGTGATGTCGGTGGAGAGCGTGTTGTCCGTGTTCCACTTCTCCGTCAGCGTTAGGCCTGGCGGCAGTGGCCGTCCGACCGTGACGTCACACCACGAGATATTCGCTCAGCGGCAGGTCTGTTGACTGTGACGTCACGCCATCAAAGCATGACGTCATACAGTGAGGTAGTCTCAGACACAGTTGAAGATTCACAAGACTTCGCAGGCGGGATTTAAGCACCCAGGCAAGCTCATACAACCTAATAAAAAGTAATTGAAAATGCGGCTTTACTTCTACGCAGAACATCGCATAATTGCGCGTTTAAACCATGGCTCACACGATTCCATTTGGCTTTGAGGGTTCGACACGGCGTTTTCAGCGCCGGAGTCGTCGTTTTTTAGATGCCAGGATTCGCGGGATTTGGATCTGCTCTCATCTAATTGACTCCCGCGAATCTATCTTCTCCACCTAAATCTCAGTCGTTCGACTTCAGCGCTACGCAGGACCGCGTCTCTGCGCCAGAGCGTCTCTGCGCCACAGCGTCTCTGCGCCAGAGCGTCTCTGCGCCAGAGCGTCTCTGCGCCAGAGCGTCTCCGCGCCACAGCGTCTGCGCCACAGCGTCTCCGCGCCAGAGCGTCTCTGCGCCACAGCGTCTCTGCGCCACAGCGCGTCTCTGTGCCAGAGCGTCTCTGCGCCACAGCGTCTCTGCGCCAGAGCGCCTCTGCGCCACAGCGTCTCCGCGCCAGAGCGTCTCTGCGCCAGAGCGTCTCCGCGCCACAGCGTCTTCGCGCCAGCTTTCGTAATATGGCCAGTCGGACATCTCACCATGGACCTGATTTCAGCTACGGACTGGGAATATGTTGAGCCTGCTGCATACTGAACCAGGACCGCACCAAACAGCGTAACATCGCATGCCACACAGGGGTGCTCAACTCGACGTCGCAGTGTTTTTGCCATAATGAGGCATCCTCCTACACGAGACACCTGGGCAGTACAGTACACTGCCACACCTGCTGATATAAACACGGCGGGCCTGGCAACCCGGGTTTTACGGTGCTGCGCATTGGGAGAGCTTATATGATAATCATCAACTTACAGCATACCAGAAGGTACTGGTTAAACAACATTATTGAGTAGCCAATGGCAATTTGGGTCACACAATACCACATCTGTTGACCAGGACATGAACAATACATAGGAATTGTCATGCCCTGGTATAACTGCTCAGCCTGAAATGAAAGGTCAGATAGTACAGTACTTTGACCATACATGCATGTGGATCTCCTTGCTTGCCTCAGTCCAAGCATCTTCACAGCCCACAGTCACTCACCATACTCCTTGCACTTGTACTTGGTCTCCAGGTTACCCAACACCTTGGAACTGGCCAAGGTCTGCGTGAAGCTGGATGTGAAGGCCACGCCGGTGCTGGATGTGGTCTTGGCCTCCAGTTTCACCAGGCCGAAGTGGAAGCCCTTGCCGAACACGTCCCGGGATGACTTGCCCAGGTCGGCATAGGTGGGAGGAGCCATTGTCTGCCAGCAGAGGCTGACAGCTCTCACACATGACCACACCACTCCTTGATAAAATATTAATTCACATTTGGTGGGGGTCAATTTGACCCCAAAGTTTTTCCAGAATGGTTTCCGAACAGCATGACATAGCTGCACCAAATTTTGCAGAGCTGTAGAAAATTGAAAAGCCCACTGTTTGGTTCAAAAATCTAGGTGTACCTTGCAAGGTCACTGACATATACCAGATCATTTTGAGACCATGGATTTAGTGACATCAATTTCCAGGAAATCATCCAATATAATGCAACAACAGAGCCATAGACAAAGCCATACACCTCTGAGATACTTCCTTAGGGCACATAACAGTTGAACAAATGAACTCAATTGACTTAGGACATATGAAGGTCAGACCAAGGTCAAACCAACTGATTTGTTACCCTAAGGCTTGCTGTATGATGTCATTTCTGGTGCTCATTTCAAATTTATTGATAAAAGGAACCTCCTTATACATATTCCATGGAGTTGTTATTGTCAGAATAAGCCACTGACCTAAAATAACCCAGGTCAACATTTGTTTCTATGAACATACTGCCTACCATTATCTTTGGACTTTATTCAAATGCAAAACTCAAAACACTCTTAGTTGTCATTAAGGGGCATCACAATAAATCCTATTTCTTAACTGCAGCATTGAAGCATTGACCTGATTGATGCAGGTTCTGTGCTCAAATGCCTGTTTCCCAAACTGCTATTACCAAAGGTGATAAAAGGCCAAACAAGCCAGTAGTAGGTGCTGCTACTGACTTGGACTGTGGAACACATTGACTACAATGGTCACATGATGTCCTTAATTTAATTTCTATTTCAACAAATGTGTGAAAAAGGTGAGGAAGTTATGTAAGTTATTTAAGTTCTTTGAAGTTATTTTAGTCCAGAAAATCATGCTGTTCATACCCTAAATCCATTCAAATATCAGACATGTCAGAAACAGCAGTGCCAGTCCCAAAGCTGTGTTTTCACACAGCAGGTGTTGGTGACAAAGCTGCCGCAACTCTTCTCCAGGAAATGTAGTTTGTGTATACACATGCCAGCTGATGACATGAGAGCCAAGCAACTGTTTCTTTATCCTCACTTACACAGTGCTGTCCAGTTTTCAAAAAATCCTATGATTGAAACCCATTTTCTTGATATCTGAGAAGGGTGTGATGTTTACTTGGAGAGTACCAAACTGGAATATGAGGGTTAACTTGACCCAAAAATGGCATTAAGTGGGAAAAAAGTCATGCTGTGCATCATGTGGACAAATTTTAAGCGATCTCATTTTGGGAAAATTGGGGGACACAAAACTACCTCCTAAGTCGCACGCTCATGGTTGGCCGGACTTAAATATTCCTAATAACGAAGACGCAAGCAACCCCCTGCCGGTGCGCGCCAGTTTTGCCTCACTTCAAAACAAATCCTCCCGGCAAATATCTCTGAAAACTTCAGCAGCACAGTTCTCGACGACACTTGAAATACGTCACAGGACGGCACGTCGGAGAAGTGAATGGCAAAAACTTACGCAGATGAGGAGATGTGGGTCACAAACAGGGACAGTACAGCACGCCGACCACCCCCTTCAGATCAGACCTCGAGAAGGAAAGATCGACGGGTATCGCGCGATATTCGTCTCTCTGCGTGGTGCAAGTGAAGAACACGGCAATCAGCTGTTGATGACAAAAGGCACATGACCGCTAAACCATTGAACACGCTTGTTGGCCAGTCTCCATGTGTTATTTCAGTAAAGTTTGCTGCATACATTTCCCTAAAAGTTTCATTATTATGAGCTTTCGTCTCATTTATTTAAATCAGAACTTCTTCTTGACTTAAAATATTTCATAGGCATAGACTCACGTGACTCCAAAGCCCAAAGTGAAAAAGTAGCTCATTATTCCATTTGAACTTGTGCTTCACAACGCCATTGTTACACGGCTGCGGTAGTTTAGAACTTAGATACCAACCGCCAAAGCACGCAAACACTTAAAGTCTGGGATCCAGGTGACCCTGGCCTGAGCGCGCGGCAGCATCCGAGATGGCCGCGGTCCGGCACAGCTTTTGCCAGCTCGTGACCCCTCTCGGGCACCCGGCCAACCACGTCAGGTCTGGCCGGCCAGCCAGGTCTCGGATATATTGGACTTGAATTGAAGCCTTGAATTGAAGCCTGAATTGAAGCCTAGGCCTTCGCCACCATAACTGCGCTAAATTATGGTTATTTCAGTACTATCCCGTCATAGTTTAACGCGTTTCCAAGTTCGTGAAATCTTCGCCAATTTAGCAAACGCTTATCATCCTTTGTAGGCAGGACCGAGATCAGCTAAATGTTAAGCGACGACATAAGGCGGTCCTTCGTAGCCAGAGTGTTAAGATAAGGCACCACCCTGAAATGAGAATTTGTTTCCATATAATTTGGAGTAAGTTTTTCCAAATTCTGTGGCATAACAATGCCATTAGCGAATGAGAGTTGATGCATTAGCATATTTTCCTTTGCACCACTGAAAAATTCTGGTCCTGATGCTATTGCTGATGCTATATTAGAACTTGAATATCATCAATGCCTTGATAATGTTAAGAAGGTTTGCAAACATGTAAATCTGGCGACCTTCCTGTGATAGCGACATCAGTGTATCTATCTATCTCTACTATTATACCAAAGAAATAGTGTGTGTGTGTGTGTGTGTGTGTGTGTGTGTGTGTGTGTGTGTGTGTGTGTGTGTGTGTGTGTGTGTGTGTGTGTGTGTGTGTGCGTGTGTGTGTGTGTGTGTTGTAAATACTTGGTTTACGGGCACATCAAAATGTAATGCACCTGGGATGCGGGGACATTTTGGTTTGTGGGGACATGCCGTGTCCCCACAAACTGATCGAAGAAAAACCCGCACTGGAGGATCCTTTTGCCATGTTAGCTCGAGCGCCGGTCGATTTGTTTTACAGTTTTATTTTACGGTTTGTGTTATTCGTTTTGCATACGACTTTTATGTGCCCACATCCAACACTATTACATTTGGACTGTGTATACTCGGAGTGTGGTAATGGGCGGAGCCAACTGTGGTTTGGCCAGTTCCCGGATGTTGAATATCCTCACATACCAGAAGTGACACATAAACATAAATATTCGTCAGCTGAATGTATGTTAATGTTAAAGAGCGCAAATCTACCCAGTGAGTTAGTATATGCAATAGGGGTAATTCAAAATCAACGCAACGTCAAGGTTCGTGGTTTCGGCCCCTGAAAGGTCGATACCTTTGATGATATCGGGCCCATGATCCGCTCATTGTTTTTGACTATGTTGATATTCTTGCGGGCGTCGAAGACCGCATTAAACACTTAGCGATGTCTAGATATATGATGATATGAGGCCGATACATTTGCTGTAACCCTTATCATTTTGTAGCCCCTGATAACGCCTAGCCCGTAATTAGTATGGCCCTGACCGCGTCGAAGGCCCCTGACTGTGACACGTCTTGTCGTTTGGAGTCCCCCACTTCAGCAAGTCCCTAGCCTTGGCGATGTCGATGTTGGGACCTATGACCGTTTCTGAGCCCCGTCCATATTGATGCCCCTGACACTGCTGATGCTGTGGCTGTGAGGGTCCATGTTGGGCCATCAGCCATGTCGAACCTCTGACTGCGTTATGCGGCACAGTGACAGTGATGACCAGCGTCGGTGTCGGAGCCCAGATCGTATTGGACCGCTGAACATGTCCTCCCGGCACGGGTGTCGATTTGTATTCTTTTGTGAAGCCCCCCCCCCAATGTTGAGCTGGGCGCCCCCCAATATTGGCTTGGTCCCTCAATGTTTTGGCTGGGATAATATAAAAGAACGTTGGTTTGATATGATGATAGCACAAATACTATTTTCTTTAATCTTTCCGCGTAGCGGTGTCTAAGTCATGGCTGCTCTTACCACAAGATACAAATCATAACAGCTGAGTTGATAAATGATGCAATAAACTTCACATACCTAGCGACACAAGGCACACACTGGTTCGTGAAGTTGAAGTGAAAACCTCTGAAATATGGGGATGACTCAGGTCTTTCATGGCTAACCCCGTCTCTGTTCCCCACAACCAAAATGCGTGCCGCCTCCCATGACCGCCACGGAAGAGCGCCATCGGCGCCCTAAGGTGGCCTCTAGAGGGGCTCCTTCACGTGCCGATCAGAAGAGATGCGTGCGTCCAGTGCCTGCTCCCTGGATCCAACCCTGCATGACTTCTATACTGCTCAGATTGAGGACTTATAAATTATACAAATATTAAAAATATGCATCGATTTTATCAAAATAAAGTGGGCTAAATCCGGTGAGCAAAAAATGGGTGGGCGGTAGGTTGTCTGGCCTTCGGTTCGCCCCCCCCCCAATAATTTACAAAAATTGACACCCCTGCTCCCTGGTTGAATCGAACTCTTCGCCATGTCGGAGCTCTGATTATGCTGGGGGTCTATGGCTGTGACAGGGTCCTTGACTGTGCTGTGTCCTAACTATATAACTGTGCTGTGTCCTGACCGTTACAGGGCATGACTGTGTCGGAACTCCTGGCCTTGCTGACATCTCAACATGATGAGGCTCCTGACAACTAATGCTTTGACTGTTTCAGAGCCCCTGGCCACGTTGGGTGCGTGGATGTATCAGGCCCCTGACTGCATAGAGCCCCTGAACGTGCCTGGGCTTCTGCCTGTGTCATGACACTGACAACGGTGGTGTGGGTCAAACCCTATAGCGGTGTCGAGGCTCGTGAGCATGTTGGGCCGATGACTGTTTTAGTCGCTGATTGCGTTGGGCGGTAGCAGTTTCAGGACCCTTGGCCGTGTCTGGCTTTTTTAGGCCACAAGGCAATTGTCATGTCGGGTGTGTTTCGTCTTCTGCACCATAGCAGTCACTGCCTACACCTGCCATCCTCGGCTCGCGGAAGTTTCCGGATATTGCGCTGGATACGAATGTGCCCACAAGGACGGTCTGTTGCATCAGAGCGCGAGGCAGCGTTAAATGGCGGGAAGGCAACAATAGGTAATCGCCCAGGTGTCGTTAAATCCATATCAAGGCCAATCAGTCTACATGAAGATCTTTTCTGTCAGCGACGAAATTTGAAAGAGACCGCATTGCAGTCTGAAGTCAAATCTACCAGAAAACGTCGCCATATAACGATAAATGCGATAAACCACACGGAACAAAGATAAACCAGTGCAATGAGTTGTAAACATCATCTATCTCATCAAACAAACCATCTCATTTCGGAGGTTCATTTGCTTGTAAGTACCATTTGCTGACCATGCCAAAACCCTGGTGGTTAGGTCGTAGGTCTTGGTGCGTGACTGACTTGCGCAGCGGGCTTAAGGCCGGAGAGCAGATCGGTTCGGTTCAAACCTGAGGCGCCGCATGGACGGAGGGAGAAAGACAGGGACCGTTTGGTCAGCGGGCGCATCACAAACATAAATGGCGCGTAATAAAACCCCATGCGCTATCTCACGACATACTGGGGCAACACCAGTGTGGGAGAAAAAGCTCTAACAGGGTTTAATCCGTTCACAAAAACCACTCTCTGCCGCTTTGCCATCATTTGTACACTTTGATGGTCAGGGGTGGCGTATCTGAACCGGCAATGAGGGGGCAAAGATATTGTGAGGAGCCCCATCCCAAATCGAGGGGCCCCTATATTTTAGTGCAGGCACGCAGCCGGAGCTTTGGCAAGAGAGGGACACAGGGTTGGCAAAGGGACCTTGAATGCAAAATCGCCTTCCACCCAAGCAAAAAACATTGAATATGGCCCATTTGTAAGTGAGGTCATGCTTTGCATATTTTCCTTTTTTCTTTTCTTTAACTGGAGTAGAAGCCAGAAACTGCCGCGAGATAAATTCTGACTGAATTTTTAGTCAATGAACTGAAGGAATCATGCGTTAATCGACTGCATTAAAGAAATAAGTGGAGGTCTTTGCTTTACAATGGTCCAGTGGATTTTTTCTGAATCGATAAAGCTTAGAAGCTTCGTCAGAATCTTACCTTGGCAGCACCCAGATATTAAGAACTCCGCAAATTTAGGTAGAAATGGATAAACCATTCGTATTAACATGGCCAATCAATTTAGTTCAATTCGTATTCACATGGCCAAGCCATCCAGTCAGAAGTGACACGGGATACAAATTATGGGACGTAGTTTCGGCCACACGCCCTCGAAAATCTCAGCAAGACCTCGATACCGGGCGTTGCAGTCTCCATAGGCCTCGCAGTGTTGGCCCGCGGTTGATATTAAACTGTGGCCAATGGGTGGACGAAAAGGATGACACGTTTGACAGAAGTACTTTTGAGCGTTTTAGAACCTCGAACTGTGTATTTAGAAGGTAGCTGGATGTATATTTGACCTGTGCGATTTTTAGGTTGATGAATGGAACGGATTGGCCTTTACAGCACCACTTCGTGATCATGTAAAGATTCCGCCAGATTCCAGCACCACTTTGTGCTGTTGGAATCTGGTGGTATCATCTGATGGTATCTCGACATAAATGTATTGAGGGGAGTTCGTGGAATGGTTCTTCTCCTCCTACACCCGTTGACACGGCATGGGTTACGAACGCCCTGTCGGGTATCCCGCCTTCTACCCCAGTCTGCCTCCGGTTCCAACGTAAGCTGAATTAAAGCA